TAGGGGGGAGGGGGGATTGGTTAGCCCAGTGATGGGTATTAAGGAGGGCACGTACTGCATGGAGCGCTGGGTGTTATACGACAACAGTGGATGGTGGATCACTACGTCAAAAACTAATGATGTATTGTATGGTGACTAACATAATAAAATTAAAAACTACAAAAAAAAAAAAAAGAGTCTGTTGATGCAGATCATTTTGAATCCTGAAAGAGATGGCTACAGTGGATGTCCTTTGCTCTTTTGTAGGATCAGCTTGTCCTAAATGTGGAAGCACTGAGAGCTGAATTAGACCAGACAAGACTGAGAGGCGCGCCCCTTCATCACGGGTATGACATGTACCAGTTCACGGAGATGTTCCAGATGAGGCCGAGGGCCGCTTCCCTTTGCCGTGCGTATGACCCGAACCAGCCCGTAAATACAGACTAGATGAACCGTGGGCCTGACCTGAACCAGTTCACACATACCTGCTTTAGCACTTGTGTGTGCCTGTAGGAGTGTGCCTTTGGTCATATGGAGCTGGTAGCTAGCTTAGTGGCAGGCAAGAGGGAAAGGTTAGGTTTGGGCACCTAGGGGGACTGGGAGTCCTGTCATCGACCAAGCTCACAGCCGCGGGCGGAGGTTTGGAAGGTAGGGGATGATTAGTTCCTGCGTGGGCAGGTGAATTTGCAGGCCCCCGGAGTGTGGCGCTGCTGGTGTGGGGCCAGGGGAACGGAGCCCAGCCTGTCAGATGAGGGCCCTCTGCACCTGGGCGCGGTAGGCCCCTCCACAAGGTCGCTGAAGTCACCAAGGGAGCGGCTGCACAGCCTGAATTGTGGGGATGCCTTGACATTCGTGGTCTTGGCATAGCGCTTGTAGTTTTCTACATTTTTTAAGGGACTGAAGGAGAATGATGTGTAGTCGCCTTAACCTATTGGGACAGCTCAGAGTTGGCGGCTGTGGGAGCAGGTCACCCAGCGGGTAGGCCTAGCAGGTCGCCCCACATCCTGCAGGTAGTGTAAGTGCTGTGAAGGTGCTGAAAGGTTTGTTTGCCCCGTTGTAGGACGTAGTCATCACGTGAGAGTCACACTTGAATGAGAGCTGCTGGAGTAGCTGATGGGCCCTCCCTAGTCTGCAGGAAGCCGGCTCCTGCTCGGATCGGAGGCGTACTCAGGCTGCGCAGCTGTTTCTGCGATTGCAGACGTGGGCTCTCCGGAAGGTCGAGGGTATCTTGCGGCTGTCTCCGTTGAGCCTGTATGTAGGAAGGAGAAGGACGCATCAGGGAAGGCAGAGTCACAGAGAGGCAGAGCTGGAAGCTGTCCCTGTCTGTGGAACCACCGGAGGGAGAGCTTGGAGGAGCGCGAGTGTGTGTCCAGAGAGGGAGGTGTGCAGGATCAGGGCACAGAGCAGGTTTGCTGATAGAGAGCCTCGCTGGTGAGAGGCCAGGGTCTTGAGTGTCGCTGCTCAAGGGCTTGCAGATATGTGTGTGAGGAGGCCCGAGGGAGCAAACAGAGGAGGACGAGGTGGACACAGCACCCGCCACTCTTGCAGAAGTTGGAGTCCTGATGGGAAGGGGTCGTGCGGGAACCTGAGGGGTGGCACCGTGGGATGGTGTGACGACAGAGAAGTCTGCGCGTATCTGCCTGTCCTGTGTGTGCTAGCAAACGTGAAGGATAGAGGGGCAGAGGGAGCGGCCACGGTCACGGACGGCTGTGTGGTCCGAAGACCATGGGCAGGAGGCTGACGGAGGAAGGGGTGTGTTCCAAGCAGTCTCATGTAGAGGTCTCACCCCCGGTGGCAGATGAGAGGCTTGTAGGAGCTGAGACGGAAGAAGTGTCGTGGTAAGCACGGGCGGGCCATGGGGTCAGGACTGGAAAGATGGCTGGCAGCTGGCAAGCCCGGCCCCCCTGGTCTTGTTGGCGTGACCTTCTCCAGCAGGAAGATACAGTCTAGGTTGCAGAGACAGGCTTCCACACACAGATGGGGCCGATGGGACAGAGCTTGGGGACACGACCGGATGCAGGGTGGCGGGCTCGGGAGGAAGTGAGCCCTGGAAAGGGGTCAGAATTCAGTGACACTCGTGACCTTCGGAGGATCTGTGAACCACCCCACATCACACTCGGGCGGTTTTGTGCGTGTAGCTCCCGCCAATTTTGCGATGTGCCGTGGCCCCAAAGCGGCCGTGCTCGAACTCCTGCTGAGCGCAGGCGGGCGGCTTCAGGAAGCAGGGACTAGAGGAGGGGAAGGGAGGCTGTGGCCAGCAGCACCGTCCGGCACACTGGACAAAGACGTTCCTTTAAAAGCCACAGGGAGGTGTGTGGAGCGCAGGTGGAGGAGGCAGCCTGTCGGAGCGGCCCTGTCTGCGGAGCACGTGGGGAGGCACCAGGGGTCCCCTCTTGAATTGACCTTAATCAGATGAGTGGGTCCTGTCGCCCAGCATCTTAAGGATTTCTGAAAACGAAGGCAGTCGCTCCTCTTTCCCAGGGAGCAAGGAGCCACTGGACTCCGTGCCGGGGTCAGGGCGCAGGGGGTGAGGCCGAGGCCGGGCGTGCGGGCTGGCAGCTGCCGCCCTCCTTCACCTCTGCCGACCAGTTCTCGTCCAGAGCCTTTCCTGAGGGGAGCCGCTAACGGCCCGCTCCAGCATCTCCCTCCTAGGTGTGCAGGGCTCCATCTGCCTTCCCTTGGACTTCTCCCGCCGAGGGAGTGGGTCGTCTGTCAGTCTAACTGCACACAGGTCTGTGCTTCAAACACAGTTCACATAAGCTGTGAGTTGGGGTTCAGAAGGTTTCTGCCGCCGGTGCCCTCAAAGCGCCTGTCAGTGGCAGGTGTAGGGATCCCTGTGGTCGCTAGGCCTCGCACCGTGGGACGCTGGCAGTTGAAGGCCAGCGTGATGGGTCGGTGCGCTTCCTGGGAGAGAAGGGGGCGCGGAGATGCAGGACCGCGGGCCTAGGGCTGGGTTCTGAGCTGGAGAGCACGTCCACCCTCTGGCTCCCAGACAGCTGGGCTGGGGCGCGCTCACCTGCCTGTGCAGGGCATCTGCCCTGCTTTTCCTGGGCGTCCAGGTGTTGCACCTGCTGGGACGGAGACACTCTCCACAGAGCGTGGGCAGTGGGCTATAGGAGCAAGGGGAACAGATGCCCTCCTTGGAGACCTTTTTCTGTGAAATCCAAACTGACAGGTTCTGGCTTGGCTGACAAAGCTCACAGTCATTTTTCTTCCAGTAATGACCTTTTTTTTCCCGTGTTTCAGCCGACCGCACTTGGGCAGTGTCCCTGATTTCCGGTTCCCTGTGGCAGACGGCCCCATGGACTCCTACAGCAGCAGCGCGGTGTTGCGGCGTCCCCAGAAGGGCCGTCTGGCCGCTCTGCGAGATGAGCCTTCCAAGGCAAGGGCCTCCGTCCCCAGTGGGCTCTCGGGCCCCCCCACCTCCGTGAAAGTCACCTACCTTGTCCCCTGGCTTGGAGGCTGTTCTGGAGTCACACTGCCGATAGGTCACTTTCTCTCTCTCCTCACCCCATTCTTCTTTTGCGGGCTAAGAATCTACCTTTAGGGCTTTCTTTCTTTCTTTTTTAAAGAGTAGAAATGTGGATAAAGCATGACCTACGGTTAAGCACGGCACAGTGCTAATTAGTACAGTTTTGAGATACTAAGAGTAAACACGTGTTCGTCCTTAAGCAAAAAGAATTCACATTTGGAAGTTTACATTCATGCTTTTGTCTGGTCAGCAGCATGTGTCTTTATAGACGTGTCTGTGTTTTGAGCGCCCGTCCTCATTGAACGACTTTGGGCCAGGCGTCACGGTAGCCCCGGGGCTGCAGCGGTAAGGACAGACGAGAGGCTGGGCCGTCTGTGTGCACAGCCTCTGCGTGCAGCTAGGGGAGGCCAGGCAAGGGAGAGTCAGATGCGTACATCTATCAGTTACCTGCTGCTGTTTAACAACTTGCTGTGAAGCTTAGTGGCTTAGAACGAACAGTCAGTAGTTCACAGTGTCTGTGAACTTAGGAGGGTTTAGCAGGGTGTTTCTGGCTCAGGGTCTCCTGAGGTTGTACCACCGGAAGGCCCACCTGGGGTTGGAGGGTGCGCTTTCAGCTCCCTTGCCTGGCTGTGGTGGGAGGCCTCAGGTCCTCGCCACGGGACCTCTCCACAACAGGAAGTCTGTCTCCTGAGGTGAGGAAGACCACAGGGTCGTGGAGGCTAGCATGGGGCCTCGGCCCAGCACACAGGTCGGCGGGCCCATCAGACACCCGGGGGGACGTGTCGGGTGGGCAGTTGGATACTCCAGTGTGGGCCTGAGGAGGCCTTGACTGGAGAGAAGGATTGAGGCCAGGACACACTTGTGGCCTCTAGAGGCACAGGCAAGATAAAGTCACCAAGTGGGCGCCTGTGGATAGACCCAGGGTCCAAGGATAGCACTCCGGGTGCTCCCCAGGGCACAAGTGGAGACGGAGCAGTGAACCCAGTGCGCAAGGTGCCCAGGGGAAGGGAGAGCGGCAGGCCCGGTGCCAGCGCCGGGCCGGGCAGCGTGGAGGTCAGGGGCAGTGGTGGCCTGGTGGCATGGGGCTCGCTGGCGAGCTGGGACTAGTTCTGGGGAGCCCGCTCGCGATAAGCTCCAGTGTCTGGAGGCGAGGCTGCGCAGCCAGAATAGGGGCAGCGTTCTGGAGAGCGGGTGTTCTGGTTGGGAGCAGAGACGCAATGGCAGCTGGAAGGAGCCCTGGGGGAAAAGTTCAGTGGTTTCGGTTTTCCGTTTGGAGGGAGAAGGGAGAAAACACTTTTAGGCTGATGTGAATGAACCGGTAGAAAGTTGATGATCCAGAGAGAGGGCAGAATGACGTCCTTGGGTACGTGAGGGCCGGGCCTTATGCCTACAGGTAGGGCTGTCCCCGGGGATGGGGGGCAGCACCCTGCTGAGAGTGAGGAGGGGCACGGCAGGTGTGGAGGGAGGGGGGCAGGAAAGCCCCAGGAGAGCCTCTGCTCGCACCCCCGCACAGCGCTGTGTGCGGTCGGTCCTATGTGTGGTGCCTGCAAGCACCTGCTTGTTCAGCCCGGGGGGTTCGGGCTCAGCGTGTTGGCGCCTCTGCCGCCTGAGGGCACGTGCTGCATGCTCACCGCTCAGCCTCAGGAAGGGAGGGCGGGAGCCTCGGGCAGCTCCAGGTCCCCCGCGTTGGGACACCGGTGAGACATGAGGGCCACTGAGGCGCGCCCAGCCCCCGGGGATTTCATGGGTTTTTTACTTCCCGTGAGAGTGGCTGACTGGCACCGAGATCCTGTTTTAATTTTCAGATTCTGTTTCTGAGCTGGTCGTCCCACCATGTGAATGACGTCACAGAAATGCGTCCACCGCGGGCGTGAGCCTTGCAGGCAGTCTAGGCGATAGGCCGCCCCCCTCGCCCTGCGCCTCAGATACTGCTTGTTGCTCCGCAGATGTCAGCAGCTCGGAGGGACAGCCGTTCCCCATTTCTTGGGGGCTCCCGTTTGGAAACTTTCAGAGTTTCGGATAGATTTCTTTGAAGTTTCTGTAACTGCTGTTGTTACTCTCCGTCCTGGCTGAGATTCAGTTTTCTTATTTATAGGTACAGACTCTGAATGAACAGGATTGGGAACGTGCCCAGCAAGCTAGTGTGCTGGCAAATGTGGCACACGCGTTTGAGAGCGATGTCGACGTGTCTGATGGCGAAGACGACAGGGACGCTCTCTTCAGTTCGGCCACTCTGCTGTCGCCCAGTGGGCAGGCCGATGCCCAGACGCTGGCCATGATGCTTCAGGAACAGCTGGATGCCATCAACAAAGAGATCAGGTACAGACGAGCGTGTCTCTGGGGAGTGGATTCACACTCAGAAAGTCTGGAACAAATACTGTGAACGCTCTCTCAGTGTCCCGCGATAATAAAACTACTTCCGTTCTGTTGTAAGAATTAAGTTTCAAGATTGCCCTCGATTATAACAGTTAACCAGGGGAGAAGAGTGTTCACCTCGAGTTCCAAATTAGCAGACAATGGTTGATGTGAATCCAGAAACTCAGAGGAGGCTGGCTGAAAATTCCATCAAATAAGACTTTAGTTTGAATTCAGCCTTAAAAAAAATCACTCCACCTTTTCATCTGATCTAGACACCTAAGTGTTTGGGAATTCCCAGTTGCATCATGGATTGGTTCTTCAATTATGTCAGGGTTCCCGATTTCCAGTTGAAGAATTTGATCTATAACCATGCAGCTTTGCTCTAAGAATTGTAAGATTCACATAGCCCGTTGTGCAGGAAGAGAGTTGCCAGCAGGCCCCCATCAGAATTTCAGTGTGCATAAGTAAAATCAGACGCAAATGATGGGAAGCAACTTTATAGGACTCAGTGGAAGGTTTACTTCGTGGTGTTCTAAAATCGAGTCTACTAAGAAGGTAAATTAGCGTTGGTGCGAGTGTTTCTGGAGTCTGTTGATGGGAATATGGTCGAAGCAAGCAGAGATTTGTTGGGCAAATGCATTCATGTGTTTGCTGGTGGAGCCAGGCTGACTGTGCACTTTTGTTCTAGGCTGATACAAGAAGAGAAGGAGAGCACGGAGCAGCGGGCAGAGGAGATTGAGAGCCGAGTGGGCAGCGGCACTTTAGACAGCCCGGGTCGGTTCAGATCGGTGGGCACCGCCCCTCCACATCCCACGTCCACGCTCACAGGCCCCTCCCCTCCGCACAGCGGGCGCTCCACCCCGCGAAGGGGCCCGCACAGCCCCGCCAGGGAGGTGGACAGACTGGGGGTCATGACTCTAGTGAGTATTTGCCAACTCTTCTGGCTGATGCACTCCCCACCCCAGCCCCTGACTTCCGTCTCAGACTCGACAGATACGCTTTGGTCTGGTTTTTTGCCCAGAAAGAAATCAGGTTCATTTGTTACGCTCAAAGGTTCAAGGTTTTTTGTTTGTTTTTTTTTTAAAGATTTTATTTATTTATTTGGCAGAGAGAGACACAGCGAAAAAGAGAACACAAGCAGGGGGAGAGGGAGAGGGAGAAGCAGGCTTCCCGCCGAGCAGGGAGCCCGATGCGGGGCTCGATCCCAGGACCCTGGGATCATGACCTGAGCCGAAGGCAGACGCTTGACGACTGAGCCACCCAGGTGCCCCAGGTTCAAGATATTTTAAACTGGCTAGTGTTTAATCACTCAGCAATAGCACAGGGACAAGTTAATTGTATTGTTTGGTTGACTGGTGTAGCATGTCATCATGAACTCATCAGAGTTTTTATTTGTGTAACCGTGGGCCCGTGCAGCTCAAGGGGGGATATTCTTCTAGGAATAGATGGTTTCATAAAAGTCAACGCAGATAGTCTTCGTAGTGTTTAGAAAACTTACAGAGGGAGTCACTGCTGTCCTCTGCATTAGAGATGCCTAACTGGAGGGTACAGGACGCACAGTCAAAAAAATAAAGCTTAAATTGGTTCTCTCGATGATGCGCTCGACCGCATGCTTGACGCCAGCTGTGTGTGTGAGGCCAGAACGGCCCCAGCGCAAGCCGCACGCCTGCACGGCTTCCTGCGGAGGCCCGGGCCGTCCTTGCTCGCCAGGGTCTGGAAATGCAGTGACCCTACGGTTTTCCGTGACAAGTATGCAGCTCTAGAGAATGTTTTATAACTTCCCTGTGTGTGTAGCTTAGGTTTTATGAGCACGTTGGCTTCCCACACAAACTCATGTTTTCAACATTCTGCTTTTCAACTGCACTTCTGTCTGTCAGGATCTTTCCTGTCCGTTCTTGTTTTTAGCCGCATTGGTCGCCAGCATGTAATTAAATCAGCCACGAATCACTGTAGCGGCATCTGGAGCGGTAGCGAGTCGGTTTTGTGGTATTCCGACGTGCTATTTTTATAATTCACATCATTAGCTAATTAACTAATATTTTCAACTGTTTGATGGTTTTGTGCTTTCATGCTTCCTTCCAGAGAGTTTGTAAGAGTAGTTATAAAGAATAGTTGTGTTTATTTTTTCCCCCATTTTTGTGATTCTGTGTATGCTGGCCGACAGTGTATCTGCTTCTGTGGCTGGTTTCGGTGTCCTGTCTCATCCTTTGGTTTCTCACTGTGAGTGCAGACCTCAGCCTCCTGCCCCGGCCGGTATTTGGTTCATCCGGCCCCTTGCCGTAATGCCCTCCACAACATGCGCAGGTGGCAGGGACTCTGTGGTCCATGGTGTGTGTGTGTGGTCAGTCGTGGCTCATTAGTGTGGTTTCTGCCTGATCTTCGTTTCTCATTAAATAGTGGGGTTTATCCTTCCCCCGGTAGTGATAACGTTTTAATTAGTGTGTCACTGTTTTATAGATGTGGAAAAGGGCATGATACAGGTGAGTCAGGAGTGTTTTTACTCAGAGCTATGTAGGAGATACGTAACTCGTAAGTGTTTCGAACATAAAGAACTAAGGCGCTAAGCATAGATTAATGGAAGCCTGACACAAACGGCGTACGTTCTGGTTTTTTGTTTTTTTTTTTTTTAAAGATTTTATTTATTTGACAGAGATAGCGAGAGCAGGAACACAAGCAGGGGGAGTGGGAGAGGGAGAAGCAGGCTTCCCGCCGAGCAGGGAGCCCGATGCGGGACTCGATCCTGGGACCCTGGGATCACGACCTGAGCCGAAGGCAGACGCTTAACGACTGAGCCACCCAGGCGCCCTACGTTCTGGTTTTGATGCTTGTATTCAGCTGGAAATCTCATCAACTTACCGGCATGTGTACTTTCTGCCTTCACAGACTGGTTTTCATGTGTACGGAATCATAGAAGGTAGAGGTGCCACGTGCTGTTAGGCTGGTGCCTGTTCTTACAGATCCACACGGGGCACTCTGCTTTAAACAATGCACTTATTTTTGGAAAGGTTTAAATCAGTTCCAGGTGAGGATTTGACATTACCGTCCCACAGGTCATTCCCCAGAGCAGGTTTGCTGGGTGCTGGAGTAGGTATGCGGGAACTTCGGCATCAGGAGGTTGATATTATAAAAGTGCAGCATGGTTTTCAGTAAGGAAAACAGACTCAAGAAGAGTTTAGAACACAGCTGTTCGGTCCCTGTGTTACGCAGAATGCCGTATTTTAATCAGTTGTGTGTGTTAAAATGGAATTTATCTCCCCACGTAATAATTTATAGCATTTCTCTAGTAAATCTTGAATAACCTGTTATGTTTAAATTTGTCGTAAGAAAAAGTTCTATTTCCAGTTATGTCGTTCCTGAACAAGTTTTATCTCACTTATATCTGTCCTGTTTTTCTTTTTTTAATATATTTGCCTGTTCTGATCCTTGAATTTCTAACTTCAGCATGTGCAGTAAATCTGATTTCTCTTCATTTCTTTGCATGCCTCTATCAGCCTAGTGATTTAAGGAAACATCGTAGAAAGGTAAAATTTTTAGTAGCTGAACATTCCTCTGTTTGTCTGTGACATGGAAGAGTGCCCCTCACTCCCCAGGAGCGCGCCCTAGTGCAGCGCACAGCACATGCGTCCGAGGGAGTGCGTGGCGGTCGCCCTCGTGAGCCGAGCTGGTCTTCCCACAGCACCGCGACAGACGGGGGCACTCTCCTTTCTCTCACGGGTGTCTGCTCGCTGTATACTTAGTTAGACCAGACACCATAGTTTGGTTTTTTAAGATTTTATTTATTTGTCAGAGAGAGAGCACGAGCAGGGGGAGAGGCAGGCAGAGGGAGAAGGAGAAGCAGACTTCCCGCCGAGCAGGGAGCCGGATGTGGGGCTCAATCCCAGGACCCTGGGATCATGACCTGAGCCGAAGGCAGACGCTTAACTGACTGAACCTCTCAGGCGCCACAGACATAATCGTTTTCAAAAAGAGAAATTATGGAAGCAGAGCCGTAGATTTTAGAGCTGGGCACCACCATCATAGCCAGCAGCAGTGAGCCCCTGCTGTATGCCCAGCGCTACGTTGAGTGCTTTATGAGCCTGTTCCTGACCCTTGCACGCATCCCCGTGAGGCGCAGGTTATGTTGTGACCCCATTTCCCAGGTGCGGAGACCGGGGCCTGAGGCCGCGGTGCGGTACGGATTTGTCTGCTCGCCTCCCACACGGGCCTCGGGGCTTCTCCTCTGTACACATGACCGCGGGGCGGGTCTCCCCATTTTCAGAGGAAGTACAACTCCTCAGGGGACAGATCCCTTGACCAGAGTGTCTTCCTCGTAACTGTTGTGCTTTGCTCCCTGGACTGTGTGTACCCCCACCCCAAGCCCGCCTGGCCGTGCACTGACAGGGCAGCGCCTCTGCCAGGTCGGGGGCTCGGTGCTAGGAGCTGGGCGGCGGCCGGGGGAGCCCCTCCGCTGCGCAGACCGGTGTGGCCATTTAGTGAAACTCCTGGGTTCAAGCTCCAGCTCTGTCACTGACTGTCTTGTGACCCGGGTGTGCTCTTCACCCTCTGGGTGCCCTGGTTTGCTCTCCGGTTACGTGAGGAGGACCAGGGGATCCTGCTCCTCGGGCCGGCCACAGACTATGCCTTTGTAAACACCATCCGCAGAGACCAGGAGCCCACAGCAGAGCGGGGCCCAGCACAGCCTGAGTCTGTTAGCTTTTGGCTCTGCAGTTTTCTTGGGAGCAGGACTTTCTCAGTGAAAGAAGGGGCATGCTCCTGAACCCAGGCGGGACAGCCACTCCTGTTGCTTGTGGTCACTTGAGCTCGCGGACTGCTTCTTGGAGGGGCATTGTTTGGAGGTTTTGGGGGGATGAAAGCAGGTGCACATGCAGAGTGCCGGGTCGGCACGGACAGGCCAGCACGTGCCGTGCACCGTGCCCCCCTCCTCCTCCTGCTTTTCCTCCTCGTGCTTGGCGCTGGCGCGTGCTGAGCTAAATCCCAGCTCTCGTGGAGACTCCCCTTCTAGTTGAGGCAGCCGTAGGCGCAAGTCTGGTGGCCCCAGTGCTGGGCGGGGTGCACTTCCCCCGGGAGCGCAGGGGAAGGGCAGGCCTGGCTGGGGCTTGCCGTGTGGCCCGGGCTGCGGCACAGGGCAGGCTAGCACTTGGAACTGTGTCTCTGCTGACCTCATTGTCAGCACAGCCCCAAGTGTCGCTCCCCCATCCTGTTCTTTTTTGTTATTTTTTTACAAATCATTGCTTTAACCTGGATTTGAAATCTATCCCTGTTACTGAAATCTGTCCCTGTTAAATTTTACGTTGATAATTTCTAACCAGTTAACATAACCTTTTGTTGTCTGATGACGGTGATGGGAGATCAGGGAAGGATGAAGGACTATCCAGCCATTGGTTACGGTTGTGTCCTACCTGAGCTCAGCTCCGCTCGGCGCTAATGCACACGGGTGTCCCCAAGCCCCTGCGCAGTTGCCGAGGTCCTGTCACAGAGCACCACGGCTGCCCCAGTCTCACTGTTCGTACAGGGGTCTGCCACGCATGTCTCATGAGACCCAGCCCTGCCTTAGCCAGCCACAAAGCCCAGATCTGTGAGTGAGACCTGCCCGGTGGGGTTAAAGCGCGGGCCACACTGTGGCCCCGCCCTCCTGCCTGAGGCCCCGCCCTCCTGCCTGAGGCCCCGCCCTCCTGCCTGAGGCCGCACAGATGCAGCACGGAAAGTAACACGGGGACTCTGAAGGGGGTCATCTTGTCGTGATGGCAGCCTAGGGCCACTTCATCCCTGCCCTGTGGAACACATCCATCCTCAGGTTATAACGTCACTGAGAGACGTGGGCCAGACACCTGTGTGGGGTGGAAGGGGGGTGCCTGTTCACTTTGAACTTGACCTTAGGGACTCCACGGCTTGCATCATTACTAGAATTGATGGATTATGGTACAGGCTATTTCCTTTTCCCCCCAAAACAAGAAGCTGTGGACAGTTTTGCACGAGAGGGTTCTGCACTCACCAGTGCTTGTTTTGAATGGCATCAGGGGATAAACACGTTCCTTCTCAGCACTCCGTCAGGGAGAGCTCCTGAGGGCCCAGTTTATAGTGATGGGGTTGGGGGCATGGCCCCGGTCTCTGCCATCCCCTTCAGTGGCTGTCCTCACGGTGGGCAGCGCAGGGTTCCGGGGAGGGTGAGCCGCGGGCTGCCAGGAGGCTCGGGAAGAGGGGTGCCCTACACTCACATGCAGGTGGGCAGGGGTGTCCACGGGCTGCTGTTTGTAAACAGGACCACCCCGTAGCACAGCCTCAGGCTAACGTGAGGCTTTTTGTACACCCCGAGGTTTTCAAATAAGGTTACGGCTACAGTTTAGAGCCTTCGCGATTGTTCTGTGGTGGAGTGTCGCTAACTGGTCTCCCTGTCTCCCCCACAGCTGCCGGCTTCCCGCGAAGAGGTACGAGATGACAAGGCAACGATAAAATGTGAAACGTCCCCCCCTTCCTCCCCAAGATCCCTCCGCTTAGACAGGCTGCACAAAGGAGCGCTGCACACGGTCAGCCACGAGGACATCAGGGACGTCAGAAAGTAAGGCGCGCGCGGGCGCTGCGCACCCCACGGGAAACACTCTCCAGTGCTAGTTGGCAGTTTTAAGAAATCCTTGATCTTTTCTTGGGGGAGAAAAAAAGGTCAGAACAATGGTTTTAAAGAAATACCAGTGAATTGAGGGGAGTTTACGTGAACGATGTTCTTGGGATGCCCGCGGAAGCTCGGGGAGCCGTGTGGGGATCGGGCAGAAGACGCATGGCTGTTTGCGCAAAAGTCAGTTTGGAAAGAAAGGGGCTAAATGGTGTCAGCGCTTTTAGGACAACTTCACGTTTTCAGAGTCTGCACACTGACTGTGGAGAACTTTCCCTTCCTGAGGGAGCTGTGCCAGCGTGGGCTCCCGACGGTTCCTTCTGTCGGCGGCGCTCTGTGCCCTTCCGGGCCATCCAAGAGCCCCGCCCTGTGCTCACACCCAGGCCACTCCGTAGCCGCTCTGTTGCTCATGCACCCCATTCCAGGCCAGCACCATTTGCGTTTCTGTTCCACGCCAGGCGGTGCTCAGTGAGGGCTGTGTGCGCTTCTGTGCCGTGGCCCTGCTCCCACCTTCGCCGGCTGCCGGGAAGGGCCTGCTCGGGGAGGAGCTCAGGGCTCCCAAGGGGCGGAGGGCCAGCGTCTGTAGGAGCGCCTTCCCAAGCTCTCGGCCCCTTTGGCTTGGCGCCACAGCCTCCCTGGGAAGGAGACGGTGTCAGCCTCCCGGGGACAGCCCTCCCGGGGAGTGCTGACGGGAGCTTGTGCTTCTCACGCACTCTGTGAAGGCGAGAGACCTCACGTTTGGCCATGAAGCATGAAGGAATATTAAAAACGCCGAGCGTTCTAGGTCGCGTGTGTGGGATGGTGTGCTGTGCTGAGCGCTTGTTCAAGATCCTTTCCTGTCCCCAAGCTCCACAGGCTCACAGGACGGCCCCGTGAGCAACCCCAGCAGCAGCAACAGTAGCCAGGACTCGCTGCACAAAGCCCCCAAGAAGAAGGGCATCAAGTCCTCGATTGGCCGGTTGTTCGGCAAGAAAGAGAAAGGCCGTCCTGGCCACGCTGGCAAGGAGCCCACGGGACCAGGTTGGTGGTGCAGGCGTGCCCGCTGGGGCGAGCGCGGGCACTTCCGTGAGCCGGCCGCCCGGGCAGAGGCGCGCTCGGAACTGCTCGCGCTCTGCCTGGGGACGCGCCCCCCTGACGGGGGGAGCCCGCGCAGGGCCGCGTCCGTTCCTCTGGGTGCTTCAGTCCCTCTGCTTCCCCACAGCTGCTGCTTCAGAGACAGAAAACTCCTCTCAGGATGCCCTGGGGCTCAGCAAATTGGGAGGACAGGCCGAAAAAAATCGTAAACTTCAAAAAAAGTAAGCATTTTTTATTTGTCATCTCACTGAGTGGCTGTCAGTTGCACCTGATTTTTAACCAACGGTTATTTATTAAATGTGCCATCCAGCTGAGTGTAGCGTGTCCAAAAAGATGCACCTGAGGCCTTTATTAAACGGTACTTCCTGGAGGTGGTAGAGCACTTAGGAAGTTTTGAAAGGACTCAAACGTGGGTTCCCGGCCCACCTTGGGAACTGTCTTAGCGCGTGTCGAGGTCTGCACTCGGGGCTTGGCCTCGCAGCACTTGACTCTGAATCCCAGCTCTAGCCCCGGCCCGTCTTGGGGCTCTGGGCGCTTCCGCTTTCTCCTCTGTACGTGGGAGCAAGGGGGCACTTACCTCCCCTGCTTTCGGGAGCACGAGATACACGTCTGTGTCTTTGTAAATACGCACGCGGTACTTTCCACAAAAGATGCACTAAGTGTACGTCTGACTGTCCGTAGGACTACAGCCACTGTGAAGACTCGGCCACCAGCATGCAGAATTTGCTGTTTGTACCAGTCATCTGTCAGGAAATCCTCACTGTGTTGTCCTTCTTTCCTTCCCCAGGAGAGTCTGAGTTTTTATCTTAAATAGATTCTCAGTTTTGTAGTCTATTTTTACATGTCAATTCTAAATTCCCTTGAGTCTGGAAACGAGTGATAACAGTGGGGACAGTTTCCTGCCGAGGATCTCTGGTGGTGTGATGCCTCGGGATAGGGGCGCGAAGACACAGTGCTGACACGTTTCTCTGGGACTTTCTGATCCAGAGCACGTTGTGTGTTGGCTCACCATGTCCCAAACCAGAGTTAAGTGGATGAACTGGACAAGCTGGGACCATATCTCAGTGATCTGACAACTGAAAAATAAAACTGATGCTCTTCAACAGAGGAAGGCGGTGTGTAGTCTAGCGGGGAGGAGCAGGACGTGAGCCCAGGGAGGAGGATGGGGCCAATGGCAAGAGGCAGGACGTGGTGGGCTCTGAGATAAACCTGAGAACGGGAAAGGCGTCGGCTGCCCTCGGCTGCCCTGAGAGCCAGCACTGGTCTGGAGCCTGGGCCGCACGTCCCGCCTGAGCCCACGGGACCCTCTCTGCTAGAGGCTGGCTCCCCTTTAGCCCCCAGAGCTGCCAGCTGGTTTCTCTTTGGTGAAATGTGCCTCATTTTAGTTTTCTTTTCAGAAGTCATAAAAATGATCTTGACTGACATACCGTGGATTCTGTTTCAGGTGAAATGCTATTATTTCTGTTGTTGCTCACAGTACCGTAGGAATACTCAGTGTTTTGGTTCTCTGGGAATGGAAATCTGTAGAAACCGCTTAACAGTGGTCTGATCTGAATGTTGCTATCTTTGAACTGTATAAAAATGTTTTAAAATATCTTGGGGAGTTGCCATTTGGCTGTGTGAAATTTAATATTGAAGCTAGGCCTTTTGCTCCTGGAACCACGCTAGGAAAATTCTGTCCCTTAGATTTTGCTGATGTGTTTTATTTCACATCTTATATTTTCTGTAATGAAAACAGTAAGGTTTGGGGCAGTGCCCTCTGGCTCTCCCACCCCACTGCTCCCAGAAATGTGTATTTCACATAGGAGCATAAATTGGCCAAACGTTTCCTCTGTTTCCTGCATTTATTTTGTCACTGTCAGGAGGTATGCTAAAGTACTTGGCCGTATGAGGACAGCCTTTATGGAGTTACTTGCCCCAGCATGTGATTAAATTTCACACTGCGTGTGCGTGTGCACATGTGTGTATGTGTGTATGTAGGTTTTTCTGGAGCTGAGACATTCAAATTGATGGATTTGGTTCTGTGTTACCATAGCTATAACTGAGTACCTAAGGGTGGGTCATACTCCATGCTCTGTTGTCATGTATGGCAAGTTGTAGAATGTACAGTTGACCTTGAACAACACGGGTTTGAATTGCGCAGGTCTACTTAGATGCAGTACATATAAACACGGTATAGCACTGTAGGTATATTTTCTTTATGTTTTTTTAATAACCTTTTCTTTAGCTTAATTTGTTAAAGAATGCAGCCTATAATACATGTAACATATAAAATGTGTGTTAACTGTTTGTTATTGATAACAGTTCCAGTCAGCAGTAGGCTATGAGTAGTTAAGTTTTTCGGGAGTCAGAAGTTATTCTCGGGTTTTTGAGAGCGGTGCTCTGTGTGGCTGGCAGAACCGTGGTGGGGGGTGGGTAGGGCCCCATACACCTGCATCCGAGGTGCCGGTCTCAGAAAGATGAGGCACGGGGCGCCTGGGTGTCTCAGTCATTAAGCGTCTGCCTTCGGCTCAGGTCATGGTCCCAGGGTCCTGGGATCGAGCCCTGCATCGGGCTCCCTGCTTGGCGGGAAGCCTGCTTCTCCCTCTCCCACTCCCCCTGCTTGTGTTCCCTCTCTCACTGTGTCTCTCTCTGTCAAGTAAATAAAATCTTTAAAACAAACAAAAAAAGATGAGGCACGATGCCTGTTGTCATGCCGTATTTGATGAGCAAAGGCTCACATGCTTCTTGTTAGGAAAGGCGACTTTACTGTCGTATTTATGTCCTAACTCTAAAAACACGTGTCATCTGTCCTAGGTTACGTGACTTCTCACATACGTACGCCTGCTCCCCACAGGATTGAGCAGATTTCTAAATGTCTTTCTCCTGCAACTTTCATTGTAAGGCTTGGCGTTCCGCATCAGTTTACTGTTAGAACAGGCGTTTGGAAAATCAGGTGTGTGGGTCTAGAAGGAAATCAGGTCGCAACTAAGTCACCCTGCAGCCCCCGTGGGGTGGCTGAGCCAGGCCTCTGCCCATGCTCGAGGGCCTCCCCTGTCAGTGAACACCAGTGGGACCCAGGTGGGAACACTGGCATCCCTGTGGCAGGTGCAGGGCTCCTCCATCTTCCTCCGCAGAGGGGGCAGCCCCTCCGGCTGGGCTCCCGGGTCATACACCGAGGGGGACACAGCCACAGCGGGGAATGTGGCGTCCGAAAGCAGAGGAAGGAAGTAAATGACAGCAGAAGCCAGACAAGTCTTCTTGCCCCTCCAGGAGACTGGCTCGTAACCCAGGTTCTTCAGCACAGAGTTGGGTGCAGAGAAGCGCTGGACATTTCAGAGTCCCACCACCTCACGTGTTGTGTTTGAGGCTCTGGAACTGGTGGCAGAATAGTTTTGTTTTCTGGGAAATTGACCTGGACAAGAATCCCTCATTTCCTTCCAGTAAACTGTTACCTATCATGCTTGTTTTTGTAGTCATAGTAAAGAAGGAGAAAACCAGATGGTTCTGTCACTCATTAGAGTGACCCTCTGGGTAAACGGGCAAGTTCCTAAGTTTACACAGCTGCTTAATTTATACCAGCCACAAATGAAGGAAGTTGGCTGTGTGCAGTAGGCTGTTCCCAGTGGCCAGCGAAAGAAACACAGTCCCTAGATCCGGCGGGGAAGGGGTGTGTACCTGTGACAGGTGACAGACAGGACGGCAGTGGAGCTGGCCCTCGCGTCCTGGGCGTGCCCTCCCCGTCGGCGCGGTGTCCAGGGGCTCCGCGTCATCCGCTCTCACGTGGGAGGCCTGCTTCATGTGAGGGGGAGCAGTCACCCCTGCGAGAAGGAAGGGATGCCAGTGTTCCCACCTGGGTCCAGTTGTTGTTCAGTCTTCTACGCCGTGCACTGATAGGGGAGGCAGGCAAGCACAGCCAGAGGCCTGGCTCAGCCACCCCACGGGGGCCCCACCTTCCTGCGGGCTCCTGCATCCCTTTGCTGCATGGTCCTGGCTCCACTGCCTCATCTCAGTCTCAGCAGGACCATGGGCCTGAGCTCAAAGCACATCCATGCTAGAAAAGGCTTTCCATGCACAAATGGCCACTGCCAGGAGGAAGGTGCCGGTAAAGTCAGAATCGTGTGCACCAACCTCCAGGTCATGGGATTCATAGTCCTTGTTTACAACAAATAACTATTTCTGATTTTTTTTTTTTTTTTTTATGTAGGCTCCACGTCCAATGTGGGTCTTGAACTCACAACCCTGAGATCAAGGGTTGTACGCTGTACCGACTGAGCCAGCCAGGTGCTCCTGAATAACTATTTCATATTAAAAGACAAAGTGTGGCAGAGCGCCCTGGGTTCGGTCACTGTTCAGTGGACTTGGAGAGTGCAGGGCCTCTGAGAGGCCTCCTGGCCTGGGGCAGAGCCCCTCCTCGGCTGGGCCACGCTGTTTAGGACTTAGCACCTGACCACGCTTCGGCAGCACAGGCCTTTCCCCAGCCCATCGGCCAAGGAAATACTTGTATTGATCGTAGGGCTCATTTGGCTTAAGTAAGTGTCCACATAAAATATAGACACTGTCTTTGAGAATTTGTCCTTAGAACACGGAAGTCAGCATTTTAATTGAGCACGTTGATGACTTACTCCACCCAGAGAGGCCCCTCCTCTGACCTCTTCTATGCAGTGTTCGGCCACGGAGCAGGATGCCCACAGCCCGGGGGCCTCTCTTTCTTCTTGGTTTATGAATAGCTTTGCTTATTTTAATGAGAAAAGGTTGCCTTTTTTTTTTCCCCCCTCAAGCTATTAAGATTTTTTGCCTTCTGGGGTGCCTTCTGGGGTACCTGGCTGGCTCAGTGATGGAGCATGTGACTCTTGATCTCAGGGTGGTGCGTTCCAGCCCAATGTTGGGCATAGAGCTTCCTTTAAAGAAAGAACAAAAAGAGTTGTTGCATTCTCTGATGTAATCATTCCTGCATAATTACAATATCTGTTACTCCAAGGAAACCCAAGGTTGGTTAAAGGAACACTTACTTGAAATTTTATGTGAAACATTTTGAGCTTTAATTTTACATAGATTTCACAGTCTCAGGAAAAGTCTAATAATATTTAAATATATCAAAGAGCCTATGTATATTTTTAGAAATAAAAGACTCACTGGACTGCAGAAATTATTAAAGAGAAATAACACTAAAAGTGACCTAGGGATTGAAAAATGCCTCAGGATGCCCAGGCACGTAGGTTAAACCGCCCCCAGTCCAACCCCACCTTCTCTCGGAGGCTTTTCATTTTTAGGAAGAATTAGTGTCTTTCAGAAAGCCTTGTAAGTACACAACACAAAAAAGTAAGATAAGATTCATAAAGATTGTTGTGTTGCCCCTTACATAACTACGTTGTCAGTAGACAGTCCTTTTTAAAGATGCTAATAAGGTAAAGTCATGGTTTGGGGGGTCTTAGAGCCAGGCCTACAGAATATTTCCGATGCTTCCTGCTTGCCACCCTGTGGGTGTCGGCTCCTGACGACATCTGAGTCTCACGGTCTGCCCTGTGTGCGCTGATATGCATGGTTGGGATTTAAATTTTCTGGGTATGAAGCCTGGGGATGAAACCACAGGATGACGTAGCATCTTAACTTTTAAGTACCTGATGAACCTAAATAGCACTGTAGACTGGAAGCAGCCAGCACCCGGCCCATGACTTACTGGCCACATCAGACCATTCCTGGTGCGAAACTCTGTGATGTTGTTGTCCATGCGGAACCCTTGAGGCCCTCACAGAAGCTTCTTCGCTCTCCCCGGCTGCAGCTTCCTCTCCTACCCAGTTTTCCTCGTTATTCAGATAGTCCCTTGACTCTCCTTCCTTGGACATGAAGACTGCTGGGATTGTTAATGTTGGCAATAAGTCTCTGCCAGGAGATGACTCGAGGATACTTTTAGAAATGTGTAAAGAGAATAGCTCTGTTCAGCTTGTTTTATATACGCATGCGCTGGTGGGTCTTTCATGCTGAATCTCTTGTTATTTGTAGGCATGAATTGCTCGAGGAAGCCCGGAGACAAGGTTTGCCTTTTGCACAGTGGGATGGACCGACCGTTGTTGTTTGGCTAGAGGTATATCTTTCTTTTCCTCCTGGGTGGAGTATGTTCCATATGTGAGTGTGTTCATCCATCCGTGCGCTGTGCATAACCTTCTGGCCTTAACGCTTCTTGTCTCCAGCTATGGGTTGGGATGCCCGCCTGGTACGTGGCCGCTTGCCGCGCCAATGTGAAAAGTGGGGCCATCATGTCGGCCCTGTCGGACACGGAGATCCAGCGTGAGATCGGCATCAGCAACCCTCTGCACAGGCTGAAGCTGAGGCTGGCGATTCAGGAAATCATGTCCCTGACAAGTCCGTCAGCCCCTCCTACTTCAAGAACGGTACGTGTCTGCAGAAAGAGTGTACCTGCTGTTTCTGTTGCCTCTGCGGTTCTTACAAACATACCAGTGTTCCAACTTAAAGGTTTAGCATTCAGAAACATGACAACTTTTAATTGGTGACGGTTGGGTGGTTCACAGATCCTTTCCTGAATGTTCTTACAACCGCTTGGCTGCAGTGGCTTTGTGATACAGAAATACAAGTTTTTAAAAGTGTAGAAAAGTAACTATCTCTGATTTAATATGAATTGACCGAAAGTGAAGGGGAGAAAGCTTTGATTCCCCACTTGCACTGTGACCAGTGTTCTACTGAGGGACGTGTTGGGCCCGTTCCGGGAGCCAGAGGCCCTGGGGGCTCTGAGCTCGAAGCAGCCTGTGAATTTGCAGGTGCACGCCGAGACTTGTCTGTGCTCATGAGGTTCTGCTCCACGTGGGAGGACCGCGACCGTCCTTACGGAGGGTCCCCCTCATGGAGTGGGCGGCAGTACCCTAATGCAAACCTGGATGGTTCCTGGGAGACAAAACAGGCCAACCCCTGGTCTGTAGAGTGCGGGTTCTTTACGTTGGCTTAGTCCCCGCTCTGCTCTTGATCTGCTCTGAGGGAAAACCCGATGAAGAGACCGAAGAGCCTCACAGACGTACTGCTCCGAGCAGCAGGTTAGGGCCCAATTCGGGGCTTGCGGCCCCTCTACCCAGAAAGGGGCTGCCAGCTGGCTTGTTTTACTTTGTTTCTTAGGGGAGGAGTTGGAATGAACCATCAGTCTGTGCTCTTACCTGCGGCCCAGGGAGCTCTGTGCTGGGAATGTTCTGTCACAGCATCTGACCAGGTCCCCATTGCCCGGTTGTTCCAGTTAAAGTGACCTTTCTAGAAATGAAGGTGTAGGGTGGTTTTCCCAAAGTCTTTATGAACTGTCCAGTGAAGGCTGCTGCTCCTGGACGGAGTCAGCGACAGGCACGGCGAGCCTCCCCAAGCAGGGAACTGCACCGTGAGACGGGGTGCGCCCGCTCCCGGAGGGGCCTGGCGGCCGGCACGGCGCCTTGATGGGCCTCAGGTCCGTGGTGGCGCTTCAGTGGGGCCAGGATTTTGGCTCCTTGAAGTCACTGGCCATTCTGTTGGACGCACTCAGCCCTGTGCCCTGCCTCTTGGGTTTCCCCAGACAAGGTTGTCCCGTCCGCGTGGCCCAGTCACCTCAGAGCACCTGCTGGGGACTGTTGTCCCACAGTCCAAAGCTAGACCTGGGGACTGTGCTCTTTGTTGTGCTCTGTTCGGGTAAGACTATAAATGTATCAAGTAAGACTTAGTTGAGAATCATTCACAATTTTCAGAAGTACAAAATGTGTTGTTTTTATATTTTACATACCTCAGGTGGTAAGCATGGCAAATGAAGCGCTAGGAATTATGGGCTGTTCTTGGGTTAGTGACAGCACAGTATTCGTATGGTGTGGTTATTCTTTATGAAGGGGGTGAGCTTGTTTTAATGTTGTCATTTTCCATACGGGCATCTAAAATGAAAAGGTGAGAAGAATGGCCTTTGCCTCCACCTGCTCCTTTTATGTGCCTGAGGCTTACGTATCTGCCACCTTTCCTCTTTGTTACTGCTTCCCTTGCCCTGGATGTGGTTGGTCACTGGGGTCACCCTAGACCACAGGAAATGTCTGGTTAACGCATGAAGAGATGGAAACGCTCACAGCCACGTCACAAACGGTCAGTCGCAGCCCCGAGCCCACCTCCCCCAGTGCTCCCCACCTACGAACGGCACGATTCTCGGCTTTCCCTTGGGAAGCAAAAATGTCATTTCACATTAAATTGTTCCGATAAGTATTTCCATTAGGTATTAGTTAAACGTGTGAAATGGAATTCTATTTTAGATTTTTTTTTCAGGACCTTAAAATTGGTAGACTCGCTCTATTTAGAATAGATTTAATTTCTATCTCCTTTAAGGAGAGACGTCAGTTTGGCGGTCAGTCTTCATGTTCTGGCCCTAGTTTTCTCCTTATATGGACATGCTTGCCATGGGAAATTGGCTCTTTGCATGAGAAATTGGAATTGTTGGTTTTGCATGAGTTTTGCATGATGCTTTGGTCTTTGTTTTTTGTGTTTTTTTTTTAACTTTTTCACTCAAGTCACTCTGCACCTTCCCTACAATGTTAATTTGCTTGCATCACTAAGCTCACCAATACTAATAGTTATGTTCTTTTGCATTCCTAACCTCGTAACACCAGGAGGATGAGGAGGGAAGCTGGGCTCAGGTTGGAGACTCTCTATAATATACTCTTCACTCTATGTACCGCAGCAAAAGAGCTGGAGTATGAAAGCTTGTAATTGACTTTTCTTGACATTTTTAACATCTTAATTTGTGCAGAATATCATTGATGACTTAAAGCGTTAGTCAGAGTGAAGCATAGGATTAAAGAGTACGTCTCATGGACAATTTTGAACCTTTCTCACGTGGCACCGTGGTGGTGAACTCTGTGTGACAGAGATCACTTCGTTCAGCCCCACGGCTGTCGCACGGTGTGCCGTGGCGCTGGCAGCTCCTGGGTACATACCCAGCACGAGAGTTGGCACGGGGACTGTCCCCGCCCGTCTGCGTATCAGGGGTTACTAAGTGGTGCCCTGCTGCTGTGTTGGTCGAGAGGCTTTCTCACTGGTGGGATTCTCAGAAATCAAGCCTCTCCTTGCAAAACGTACGTTCGAATTTTCAGCTTCCTGGCTCTTCAGCTCACAAAAAGCTCTGTCACAACTGTTTCGCAGCCTTGATTTGAGACAGCTTGATGAAAAGCAGTGGTTCCCTACGTGTGCTTCTAGCCCCATTGCTGCCTGACTTGCTGTTCTGTTTTAGCGCCAGATCGGAGGCTACAAGGGCGCGGCCAGGAGGTTCTTCCCGAGGCTCTTACTAATGGCATCATGTTCAAGGATCTCAGAAGGATCATGGTACAGCTGAAGAAAATCAAACTAATCTTAAATCTGAATTTTTCTCATTTCCAGTTGATGGTTGAGACCACTGTTTTCCTCTATTTGTACTCCTAAAATCAAACCGATGTTACCACTTTTTTAAAAAGCAAAAGAGGAGAGTGCCTATAATATTCCATGAGCTCCCTCTCCAGTCCTTTGATTTAGGCACTCTGTGCCACTACTCCAGATAAATATCCTCATTAATCATTTAGCCCGCTCAGATATCCCTTTACAGGGCCAATAATGACTATCAGTGAATTAAAAAGGGTGCATTTCATGATTGCTTAAACATCAGTGTTTTACATTAAGAAGGAGAACTTTGGCAGCACCCCGCTATGAGATTCCCTATATCGGGGCGTGACTTATAAGGTAAACCAGCTGAACGTTTGCTCTTTGCAGTGGAAACATAAACAAGGATGAGCCATGCCAATGACACCAGAATTAGCCAGCATCGGCCTTCAGCGTAAGCAAGGACGGTTTCTGCTCCATCCCTCTTCTCGATGGGAGGAGAACGAAGGGCAGAAGTCGGACAGTGCGCCTTCCACGTGCTATTACGTAGTCACCGGCTCTAACACCAAGGGCGAGTTTGAGATGCCCTTGGGCATTCAGGGCAAGAAAATAACAAGGTGTGGTCAAGTCATCGATGCATTCACTTAGCAAGTAACATCAGTGTGCTGTCTGTGCAAACCGAGCTGCCTGCTCTTGACACCTGCCATCATCCCTCCCATTTTACAGAATTGTATTTGTGATCATGTCAGTGCTGGAAACAATAGAGCCTGTGCAGTGGCAGTTTCTCGCAGCCCAGGTGTTCTCTGACCAAGAGGGATCCCTGTCCTGTGCTTTTTCAGAAGGCTGTGATGGCAGCCCAGGAGGTGTGGGTCTCCTGGCTTTGAGACTGGCTCCCCCGGGAGCTCATGTTATGGACCACTTAAGAAGTGGGACTGGAGTACGTAATGAGTAAACAACATTAAGGAGGGCTCTGCTCCCATGGAATTGTCTGTTTAGAAATTTCTTTGCATTTTCTGTCCAATTAAGAATACATAAACAGAGGCAAGAAAGCAGTGATGGATATTCACACTCTAAGTGTCAGGTGTGTGATATTGAGAGTGAGGTTTGAAAGAATGAGAAAACATGACATTGTGACAATTTTCCAAAAATGTTTGCTGCTTTTCTCACTCATGGTTGTTCAGAGAAAGTAGTGAAACAGTTTTTTTCTATTGAATTTGAGCATTCTTGTTGAAATTTGAGTCATTTCTTCTAGCTTGTTTGGTGTAAATAATAGATTAGAGGTGGTATTTTCAAGCCAGAACATCGTGGTAGTTGAGAGTTACTATTTCCAAGGATTCTGTAAGGCAACTACAGAATTCCTGTGACTGTAACTTAGCCTTCTTGGACTGAAGAACATCCGGTACCTTTGTTTGGATGTGTATGCATGTACTTGTAATGTATTGATTTCTTTTTCATGGCACAAATCTGGCACATATTCTGTTAGATTTATCCCAAAGGGTTTCATCCGTTTTGATGACATTATAAATGGTATTTTTAAAATGTCCATTTCCAGCTCATTTCTAGTATTTAGAAATACAGGTCACTTTTATATATTGATCTTATTACATCCTGCAACTTTGTTAAACTCACTTTAGTTCAGATAGCTGCTCTGTATTTGTTTTCTAATACTGATAATCAAGTGATCTACAAATAAAGACAGTTTTCTTTCTTTTCCAACTCATGCTTTAATTTCTCTTTCTTGCCTTGTCACCGTGGCTGAGAGTTCTAGTACAGTGCTGAATGAAAGTGGTGGGAGCAGATACCCTGAACTTTGTTCCTGAGTGTAGGGAAAATGCATGCAGTCTTTTACCACTAAGTGTGCTGTCAGATCTGCATTTTTTGTAGAAGCCCTTTATCAGGTTGAGGCCGTTGTTGTCTGTGCCTAGGTTGCTAAGATTTCAATGAATGAGTAATGATTTGGTCACACACCTTTCCCACATCTCTGGTTTTTCATTTTAGTCCTTTGATACAGTGAATTTCTCTGATTTTCTTTTTTTTTTTTTAATTTTATTATGTTATGTTAGTCACCATACAGTACATCATTAGTTTTTGATGTCATGTTACATGATTCATTGTTTTCGTGTAACACCCAGTGCTCCATGCAGGACGTGCCCTCCTTAATACCCATCACCGGGCTGACCCATCCCCCTACCCCCCTCCCCTCTAAAACCCTCAGTTTTTTTAGGGGCGCCTGGGTGGCTCAGTTGGTTAAGCGGCCGCCTTCGGCTCGGGTCATGATCCTGGAGTCCTGGGATCGAGTCCTGCATCGGGCTCCCTGCTCGGCGGGGAGTCTGCTTCTCCGTCTGCCCCTCCCCCCTCTCATGTGCTCTCTCTCATTCTCTCTCTCTGAAATAAATAAATAAAATCTTAAAAATAAATAAATAAATAAATAAATAAAACCCTCAGTTTTTTTCTTGGAGTCCATAGTCTCTCATGGTTCGTCTCCCCCTCCAATTTCCCCCCTTCATTTTTCCCTTCCTTCTCCTAATGTCCTCCATGCTATTCCTTATGTTCCACAGATAAGTGAAACCATATGATAATTGCCTTTCTCTGCTTGACTTATTTCGCTTAGCATAATCTCCTCCAGTCCCATCCATGTTGGTGCAAAAGTTGGGTATTCATCCTTTCTGATGGCTGAGTAGTAGTCCATTGTATCTATGGACCACATCTTCTTTATCCATTCATCTGTTGAAGGGCATCTCGGCTCTTTCCACAGTTTGGCTATTATGGACATTCAAATATTAACCCCACCTATGTTCCTGGGGTAAACCCCACTTGTCCTAATATCTTATTCTTTTAATTTATTACTAATTTGATTTGCTAATACTTTGTTAAGGAAAATTTGCTTCTGTGTCTATGAGGGATATTTATTGGTCTATAGTTTTCTTGAAATGTGTCCAGTTTTGGTGTCAGGACAATGCTGCTCTTGTAGAATGAGTTATATATTTCTTCTTCACTTTTCTGTAATAGTTTCTGTAGAATTGGTAATTTTTTCATAAATGTTTGGTAGAGTTCACCAGTGAAGGCATTTAGAGTAGAGATTGAGTGTATGTGCATCATGTGTGTTTGTGCTTGTGTGGTTTATAGCTACAGATTCAAGTTCAGGTACGGGTTACCTGTTTCTTACTGAGTGGCTCTCATAGATTATGTCTTTCATGAAATTTGCCCGTTTTGTCCAGGTTGCTTACAGCTGTCCACAGTTTTCCCATATTACCCTTTCAGTGCCTGTAGGGTCTGTACTGATGCCCCCTCTTTAATTCTTGATGTTGGTGATTTAACTTTCTTCTTTCTGGGTAGGGGCCCGTCAATTTCAGTGATGTTTATGAAGGTCCAGGTTTTACTTTCATCATTTTATTTTCTGTCATTTTTTTTGTTTCTGTTTCACTGATTTCTGCTTTTATTTCCTTCCTTCTGCTTGCTGTGGATTTCATTTGTTCTTCTTTTTCAAGTTTTTAAAGGTAGAACCTTACTTTATTGATTTATAACCTTTTTTCATTTATAAGTACTTAATACTGTAAATTTCCTTCAAGACACTGCTCAAGCCGTGTCCCACAATTCGTGATTGTGTGTGCACTTTCTTTCTTCTTTTTTTTTTGAAGATTTTATTTTTAAGTAATCTTTACAACCCAATGTGTGGGGCTTGATCTCACAACCCCGAGATCAAGTCACATGCTCCACTGACTGAGCCAGCCAGGTGTCCCTTGCATGTTCATTTTCATTTAGTTCAAAATATTTTCCCATTTCCCTGTGATTTCTTCTTTTGACACATGGGTTATTTGGAAGTATGCTAATTCCAAATATTTGGGAGTTTTCTAGATGTCTTTTATTATGGAGTTCTAATTTAATTTTCTTGAGGTCAGAGGAGATATATTTGGCATGATTTTAGTCTCTTTGCATACATGGAGCTTTGTCTGTGTTGGAGAATATTCCGTGTGCGCTGCTTTTGGGTGAAGTGCTCTCTCACATCCATTGGGTTAGTTGAGGCTACTGCTTCCGGGCTTCTCTGTCCATGCAAGCCAGTTGTTTGGCTCAGCTGCTCAGTCCGTTACCAAACAATGGGGGTGGGGGGGTGGGAGGTCTCCTGACCGTCTCTCCTCTCAGTCTTACCGTGTTCATCTCCTTTCAATTTGTGTTTTAATTCACTTTTTTAAACCTGATTTTGAAATTAACGTGTTTTATTAAGGAAATACAGAAAACAAAATGTTAAAAATAAAATGAAAGCCAGCCAGAGATATTTTTACTGAGTAGACTTGGATTGATCCTTCAAACTTGTTCATGAGCCGTGATCGTTCTTTGTGGTTGTATCATTATACATGAAAACTAGCTCAGAGAGACAATGTGTAGCCAGTTTTATTGTGCTTTGGTAAATATGTTAAATTCAATAGCATAAGTAATAGACTGTTCATGGTATAATTCCCTTTGTAGAAAATGTTACTAACAATTTAAGAGTAAATAGATCCAATTATTTTGAAATTATAAAAAACAATGTTATTAGTTTAGCCTTTGAGAATATGTAACAGATTGAAAGATCCAGTTTAAAAATTATTTAAATGACCCTTGTGACCTCTTCCATGGCTTTTCTTCTGAACTGATGTGCTTAATTATTGCAACCAGACCCTCGCCTACGGGGACATGAACCACGAGTGGATTGGCAATGAGTGGCTGCCCAGCCTGGGCCTGGCGCAGTACCGCAGCTACTTCATGGAGTGCCTGGTGGACGCGCGCATGCTGGACCACCTGACCAAGAAGGACCTGCGCGGGCAGCTGAAGATGGTCGACAGTTTCCACAGGTGCGTCCCACAGGATGGTCCTGACCAGTTAGCTCAGGGAGTTTGCACTGTTGCCACGGCTAACTTTTTTTTTTTTTGTAATAGAAACAGTTTCCAGTGTGGAATTATGTGCCTGCGGAGGTTAAATTATGACCGAAAAGAACTGGAGAGAAAAAGAGAAGAAAGCCAGAATGAAATAAAAGGCTAGTACATTATGTGTAATGGATGCAGCATATTTCTGCTTCCCACAGTGCTAACAGTTCAATGACTGCCTATTAAAAAATAAAACTGGAAGGAAAAAAATTAAAAATAAGTTAAAAAGATCACAAGGGGTGCCCAGCTGGCTCTGTTGGTGGAGCTTGCGACTCTTGATCTCAGGATCATAGGTTCAAGCCCCACATTGGGTGTAGGGATTACTTAAAAACAAAATTTTAAAAAGAAATTAAAAATAAATAAAATAAACAAAAATCAGGAAAGGCTTTAAGTGGAGAAAACTAGTCTGGCATCATTACAGAGGAGGGAGGGATGAACTGTGTGCCTCTAAAGACCCTCCTCTGTGCCCATTTCCTTGTGCTGATGTCAGTCTGTAAGGTCGGGGTCTCAAGGTAAGCATTTTTCCTGTGACCTCAGACATTTCCCCTTGTGACGACACATGTCCTTTTTTGTTCAGAAATGCTGCTACACAGCGCTAGATAGCAACAGAGCTAGAGGTGAACAGGCCCCCACCGTGTGCTGCTTGGTGGAAGTCTGGAAAATACTGCCCTGTCTGTCCTTGAGGGGCCCGGAATAGAACAGTGTGGTTCTGCTCCCGTGGCTGAGGGAGCAGCGCGGGGTTAACATGGCATTTGGGCCCTGAAGACAGGGTGGGAGCCTCTTCTTGGCGTCAGGGGGCAGGCAGAGGTATTTCAGATAGAAAATAGGCCGGGGGTGTAAGGGGACAAGGGTGCTCAGCCAGGAGACAGCAGATGCTCTTCTCTGCTGGGGAGCCACCCACCCAGGACACCTCTCAGTGAGCAGGTATAGTAGTTTGCTTTGAAATAAGACGTTAACGATTAAGCTCCAAGTAAAATCTCCCCAAATTTTCAGTACAAAGAAATCACTAAGAATGGTAATAGCAGATGAGACCTATTGACCAACGCTAAGCATATTGGTTAATTTATGTAATCCTTACAACCACAGTCCTTTAAGTGCTGTTTTTCATCTCTTGTCTTTATTAAGACAGAAATTAAAGATAAAAATATGGTTGGGGAGATGGTCCATTAGAAGGATAGTCTAGCCATGATTGAGTTAGTGTGAATCACAAGAAAAACCATAAGCTAACATTTGTAATACATGTTCTATACACACATATAAATATAGTAATGATCTCTATATATTTTATGGCTGTGTGTGTGTGTGTGTGTGTGTATCTGTCCTTTTATCTAGAAAAGGAGGTGGGAAATGAGATACGTAAATCTGTTCCATTTGTTTTGTATTTCCATCTTAAATCTTTTCAGAGTTGACAAAAGCTGCCTCTGAAAATAACTGGTGATCATCTGGATGTACTTTTACAGGGTGGCTATTTTTAGATCTCTACTAGAGCAAATTTAATAATTTATTACTTTGCATAAATACAAGATCTTCCCCCAAGTCTCTAATACGCTGGAGAATATCTTCCAATTTCTGTATTTTTAAAGTGTGACAACAGGAAAGTCTTTGAGATTGTAAGTGAGGGGTTTGCGTTGAATCACAAGGTGCCCGGCTCCAGGGCCAATGCCTCTGATGGGAGGAGAGTATTTCGGAAGGCCTGAAGTCTGTAGGCGGTGCACATTCGTACCTGGTGGGCGTTCAGCTTCTTGGTGTGTCCTTTTGGTTTCCGAAGCCTGGGCCCCGTCGCTTTCTATTCTCTAGAAACTCGGTGTGTGTAATAACTTCCTTGCTCCAGGGTTTACTCGAAGGGTGAGTTCCAGTAGGACGGTCTCCATTGGACAAGCCAAGGGCCAGGACGGCAGCGTGCGAGTGCAGCCGAGGCCGTCTGCCCACCTGGCAGCGCCCCCGGGGCCCATGCGGCTTGCGGCTTGTGTCGGGAACTGGAGGCTCGGGGCCTGCGGGTGGATCTTTATCCTGTGTTATGGGGCGAACGCAGTGAAACGAGCTTCCTGCAGCCACTCTGAGCATTGTTTTCACTCGTCTGCAGATGTGCTAGTTTGGAGCAATGATCGAGTGATTCGCTGGATCCTATCGATCGGCCTTAAAGAATACGCCAACAATCTCATCGAGAGCGGCGTTCACGGCGCGCTGATGGCCTTAGATGAGACCTTCGATGCCAACGCCCTGGCGCTCCTGCTGCAGATCCCGACACAGAACACGCAGGTGATGCCGGCCACGCCCGCACCCCGCCCTCCTACCGGCGCTGCGCTCCGCATCTGAGTGGAGGCAGAGAGAGCGTAACCAAACCCCCAGCCAGCCAGTCCTCTCTTCCCCTGCCTCAAACATGATGCGGCGGCTCAGAGCCCACAGTGCTTGTTAGCTCCTCCTCGTGTCTGCCTGTCCTGCACGCAGGAGTCCTGCGTCCACACCGGGTGCTTGTAGAGCAGCAGAGGGGAGAGAGAGAGAGACGCTCTTACGAAAGTGTGCCGCACGCAGGTCTCAGGAGTTCTGTTTCTCATTTCCCTGTGTCCTTCTTTTTGACTCATGGGCTCATTGGAGAATCAGGAATGTTTTTATTCTTCTACAGAACATGTATATCTTCTGCCAGTACCCTCAAGCTCCCCACCAGCAGCGGCCCCCACGGCACACTTGTTACGTAATGTCCCAAGAGCTCACGGGTCCCACCGCCCAAAGCCCGCGAATGCATTCCCCATTAAAACCCCTGACTTAAAGTACCCTGTGATGTTCACGGCATTCATCCCTTGAGTTATTGTTTGTTTGTTTAAGTCTTGGTTTAAAAATAACTGTGATATGCTAACATCCTTAGCGTATCACTAAGGGGGGTTGTTTTGTTATGATTTCAGGCTCGTGCTGTCTTGGAAAGAGAGTTTAACAACCTTTTGGTCATGGGGACTGACAGAAGGTTTGATGAAGTAAGTTTTCAGCCTAATGATTTTTAAACTTGCATTAAATGTAAATTGTTACATTTGGGGGCACCAGCCTGGCTCAGCTTGGTAGAGTGTGTGACTCTTGATCTCAGGGTTGTGGTTTGGGCCCCACGTCGGATATAGAGATTACCTAAAAGTAAAATCTTTAAAAATAAGTAAGTAAATAAATAAAGTAAATTAATATATTTGTAGGAGCCGTGTAGTCTGGATAACTCTTCCAAATGTGGAGACAATTTTACTTTACAAGTTAAGCTTTGCTCTTAATTTATTAACAAATGAGCTATTAAGAAAGCAATATTTTCACTAAGATGGGGAGGTTTTTTTTTTTAATTTCTGCTATTTAACTTTTGATATCCTTCAAAAATGTTTTTCGCATCATAAAGCATTGGTTGCGGCCGAGGCATAGTCTGTAAGTTGTGTTTTGGGACAACTGGATACCTCAGTCCCATCCAGGACCCCCTGTGCTCTGGCAGAATGTTTCAGAAGTTTATTTAAAAACACAGGACACATTCATTTCTCCTCATTCGAAACCATGACTCGTGTCCTCTCGCACCGTGACGTGTTACCGTCTCCGTCGCCGTGCGAACACTTGAGTGTGGCAGGAACAGGACACCTGACGGGCATCGCTGGCCTGTCCCAGCCTGAAGACTGTTTTGAAGACAAAAATGCAGTATCTTACATAGCAAGAAGGTGATTTCTGCAGGATAAGAAGCGACACATGGTGGCAGACCGAGCACACCCAGGTGGCCCAGGATTGTCCTGATTTGTGCCCAGCTGGTCCCAGCATGAGGGTGGCCCTGTCTCCTTTTACTCTGAGAAGTTCCCAGTCTGGGCAGGGAGTCTGATGGTTATCAAGAATGGGGTCAGAGGGGCACCTGGGGGGCTCAGTCGGTGAAGCGTCTGCCTTCGGCTTAGGTCATGATCCCGGGGTCCTGGGATTGAGCCCCGAGTCAGGCTCTCTGTTCAGTGGGGGAGTCTGCTTCTCCCTCTCCCTCTACCTGCCGCTCCCCCTGCTTGTGCGCTCTCTCTTTTTCTCTGTCAGATAAATTAAAAAAATCAAAAAAGAATGGGGTTAGATAGGGCGCCTGGGTGGCTCAGTTGGTTAAGCGACTGCCTTCGGCTCAGGTCATGATCCTGGAGTCCCTGGATCGAGTCCCGCATCGGGCTCCCTGCTCGGCAGGGAGTCTGCTTCGTCCTCTGACCCTATCCCCTCTCATGTGTTCTCTCTCTCTCATTCTCTCTCTCTCAAATACATAAAATCTTTAAAAAAAAAAAAAAGAATGGGGTTAGATACATGTGAACAAAAATGCGGGGACAAGGACATTTTAAAGGGTTGGTAACTTTACTGTGTATTTTGTCCTGTATTTTAAAATCAGTCTTGTTTTCTGTTCTTTAATTTACCAGGACGATGATAAAAGCTTTAGGAGGGCACCTTCTTGGAGGAAAAAGTTTAGACCAAAGGACGTTCGTGGCTTAGCTGCTGGGTCAGCAGAGACTCTCCCCGCAAACTTCCGGGTCACTTCCTCTCTGTCCTCCCCCTCTATGCAGCCAAAGAAGATGCAGCTGGACGGTACGTGATGCACTGTGCTCCCCCGGCCACCTGTCGGCAGCACGAGCAGCTTTTTGGCTGGAACGTTAATAAGGGTCACGATGACCTCTTTAATACGTAACAAGCGTGTGGGTGCTGTTGCATGCCCAGGTTTACATGCTGTAAAATTAATCCTAACATCTGTGTAGAAAAGTTTAACAATGATACAGATATTTTAAGTTATCTGGTTGAACATTAGCATATTCTTCCAACTAATAAAGCTAAGCAGCGTGTGTGTCCTCAGAGCGTTGGACCGACGTCCACACTTGCAGAGATGTGTTCGTGTGGCCCTCGAGGGCTCTGCCCTCGGAGAGCAGCACAGGGGCTTTCAGACCACGTCCTTTACCCCTAGGACTTCTCTCCGCGCTGGAGGAGTGACTGGGTCCGTGGTAATCGGCACAGTTCCCACCTTCGTCCTTGCTCTCTCTTGTCCGTGTCGTTCCGTTGTAAGAGGACGGGGAAGAGGAAGAAGGGGAGCCCGGATGTGCTCACGGGGCAGGGCTGGTCTTGTCGAGGGCGCCAGTTGTAGGGTCCTGGTGTCAGATCAGGGTGCAGTTATCCCTGGACGGTCCCTCTGCTTCGAGACCACCGCTAGTGAAGAGTTGGCCAAGGTCTGCGGAGGGACCTCTCCGCTCTGACCGTGTCCCACTCAGTGACAGGATGGAGGGCCACACTGCCTGGGCTGGAATCTGGCTCTGCCGTGCAGGAGGCGCATGACCTTGAGCACTGTGCCTCAGTGTCCCCATCTGTAGAGTGGTTGTCGCACGAGTGTCTTCCTCACTGATGGCTTGTGGCGGCGAGTCCTTTGCGGGAAGCTGTTGGCAAGTGTCCGGCGCGTCGCGAGTGCTGTGTGTGTTGGCCGCGGGGGCCCTGCGTCGTAGGCCTGTGACGGGCGGCCGCACGCTCACTCTCGGTGGACGTGGGTAGACGGGCTATAGGGAAGTTGTCCGGTGTGGTTTTTACCATTTTCCTGCCTAAGCTCTGCCTGAACCTCGGTTGTGAGTTCTGCTCTCGCTGCCCACGTACAAACCAGAGAAAAGTAATTTCTATAAAGCCTTGCTGAGCTTTGAGTGAGGGCAGCTTATCAGGCAGTGTTTTTATTTAAAAAACTGCATCTCTTCGCCAGACTTCAATATTATGCTTAATGAGGGAAAAACCCAACTTTTTGGAAAAGAATAGCATTTTCCTTCAAGAAGCCTGTAGGTAATTTCTATGGATTCTAGCTGTAACTTAAGTCTTCGACTTCTTGGGCAATCGGCCTGCGGTCCTGGTCTCCTCAGCTTCATTTCACAAGTCGCCTTTTCCTTATTGTAAATGTTAACAGCGGCATTTGGATTACAGTTCAGGTAAATGAAACATAACCGTGGAAAAAGGCATAGGGAGCGTAGCCCGTGGAAGGTGAGCTCTTACCCCGTTGCTAACGGAGGCGGAGGCGGAGGCGGAAACCCGGCCCAGCGGGTCTTCTGGCGGCTGGGGGCAGCCACAGGCCTCCCGCGCTCTCCACGTGCTCTCTGGCCCCGGGGCAGGGTACCGGCAGCCTGTGGGGAGACAGGGCTTGTAGTTGGGAGCAGCCCACAGCTGCTCCAGGGCTGGAAAAACCCAGTGAGCCCCCCGGGCGGTTTCTTGATAGAACAAAAGCATCTGTGGTGCGCGCTGTTGGCGGCTGGAAGGGAGGCTGGGCCTGGGCTTCCGTGGCTCAGTCATCGTCCCGCACCCGCTGCCGGGAGGGTAAGGCCGTCCTTCTCAGACAGACGGGGGAGGGGGGTGGGCAGCGGGACGGGCACCCGACTCCCTTTAGCGGGCTGGTAACGCTCACATTGCTGCTGGGCTGCAAAAAGTCCAGAAAAGTCTGTAAGTCTGGAGGCTTTCGGGAGAAACAGTCACTGTGTTCATGATTGTTGCCAGTGCAGATGTGTGTGGAGGAATTGCCTTCCCGTCACCTGCTGCCCCACGGACCCCGGGCTGCTCGGGGGGTTGGGGACAAGCCCACTCGGTGACTCAGTTCCCCTCCGTGGGCGCTGCTGTGGGCGTGAATGTGCGTGTGTGCGCTCGAGCGGCCGCGCGGCGCTGAGACTAACTGCATGCTGTGTTTGCACGCCTCCCGTCGTGGTCGTCGGAGCAGGTGGCGTGTCAGGACCGCAGAGGCTGGATTCGGCCACAGTCAGGACTTACTCCTGCTGACGCCCCCTGTAGGTGAGTAGCCGGGAGAGCCGGCCCCGCGAGCTCGGGAAGCTGGCCGGACGCACGCGCACAAGCCCTCGGCGCCCGTGGAGGGGACTTTGGTGTTCTGGATGCTCACGCTTAACCTGGAGAGGCTAGTGTGTCACTGATTCCTAAGGGAAGAAATGTATTTCCATTCTTTCCATTCCTTAAACACAAAGATGCTGGCTCCCACGTCTGCTACTGTCTTGTGGGGGCGGGGGGGAGGCAGGAGAGCGCACGAGAGCGTCACCTGGCTCTTAGCTGACTGTCCGCAGCGGGTCACGGCCTCTGCGTCTGCGTGCACCTGGTGGGACGCCCGGGCCACTGCTGCTGGCCGGCCTGCTTTTACAGACGCGGTCTTGAATGAATCAGGCCCCGAAGTATTAAGTTTCATGAGACCGTGACCACCGTGTGACACTGATAGCCCCTCAGTTGGGAGATTGGGGTTTCTTCCAAGATACTTATTTGCGGGAGAGCGAGAGCACATGCACAAGCACGCGTGAGCGGTGGGGGAGGGCAGAGAGCGGGACTCTCAAGCTGACTCTGCGCTGAGCCTGGAGCCCGATGCTGAGCTCGATCCCACGACCCTGAGATCACGACCCGAGCCAAAACCAGGAGTCAGACGCTCCACCGAGTGTGCCACCCAGGCGCCCTAAGGGGTTGGTCTAAAAAAAAACCCAAAACAAAAACCAAGTGCATTAGCACAAGAGGGGCTGAGTTTGTGGATTGAGATATCGGGTGCAGGCCTGCGAGCCTGGCCCTCTTCTCCCTGCTCCGAGGGCCCTGGGGGAGCTCTCTTTGCTCTCAGTGTTTTCCTGTCTCAGCCAGAATATGTGATTGCTGGGGGCTCCCTGCGGGCTCAGTCGGTGGAACAGGCAGCTCTGATCTCGGGCTCCTGAGTTCCAGCCCTACGTTGGCTGTAGAGATTACTTAGAAATAAAATCTTAAAAAAAAAAATAATACTTGTTTTTTCCATCCTTTTTAAAAATTGGTTACTTTTGGACATAGGCCAAAATGAAATCAATCAAAGGCCAAAATGAAGTCAGTCATTGATAAGCAAAATGCTTGATGCTTTCTCTGGCTTCTCAGAGGGGCTGAAGCACAGGGCGGGAGGGGAGGTGTGCTGGGGCCTGCCCGGGCCGGGAAGTCACTGTTCAGGTGGCTTAAGACTGATTCTTTTGTTTGTTTTTCTTTTCCAGTTTACCCGCACTACTTCTACAGATGATTATGCACCACTTCGAATCCCACAAAGACTACATTTTAAAATGCAACGGAATCTTTAATCTGTTAATACTTGTTATATGGACCCTGAGATATTTTATTACAGAGTTTTTAATTAGCGAAAAATTCATGAATACTATAGAGAAAATATTTTAGAACTTAATGTTTCTTATATTTATGTAAACTTATGACTTCATTTATATAGTTACTTACTTTTTCATGTATATCCAGGCTATAAATATCCTTTCAAATCAACTCGTGTTCTTATATCTAATTTAGTCTTTCAAATGAATGTACTGTAATGCTTGTATGTATAAATCCTATGAACAAATATAGGGCTTTTGTAAATTGTGCATTTATTGTAATTATCATTACTTAATTTGTTATTAATAAACCCTGACAGAGAGAAGGATTTTACCGTATTTGTAAAATCATGACACAGCGTGTGTTATCAAACAAAACCTAGCTCTACAACAATCATTTTGAAATAAGCAGACTTCATTTCAAGCAACTGTTGTTGTATTTTAATGACTGACCTTAACTATACTTTTTCTAGCAAGAAATGCTTTATTCCATAGCGTGAACAGCTTAAAAATATCTGGTGTTAAATATCAGCTTCTGAAAATTTGGACTGGAAAGACTATGAAAATCTCCTAGGACCGGTGAACTCTTCATAGGCTCGTCCCGGTGGGCTCGGGCAGCTCGTGTTTAGCGACTGGCTGAAGCCGCGAGCTGAGGACCCTGAGAGCCAGGGGGGGCCCTGGGCGGGGGGGCCTGGGCGTCCTCCTGGTGCGGAGCTCGCTGGCGAGAACTCTTAGAGGACCAATCAGGAAGCACTGCGCCCCCCCGCCCCCCTCCCCCCCGGAAATAATGTCGTGCAACTCTAACAAAGGCCTTACTGTTCTTATGTAAATCATCTTTTTACATTTGTTTGTAAACATGTTTAAAGAATGGACCTAGTCGTACATTTTTAGATTTTGATGAGATAGCCGTTTTGGATTGTATAAGTAGCAAATGTAACTCTTACTTTCTACTTGGCACATTAAAAAGCCAGCAAGAAATGTGTTCAGATCATGGTGCATTATTTATTATGCAGCTGAGACATAGATAGAAACGGCATGTCTTTACATTTGGTTTCTGCTTTTAATTTACTTGTACAATTCACTGTTACCGTCCTGTTTTTCTATTAATCTTTTGTGAACTTCCTGATTATGTAACAAAGTATGTACAGTCTACTTTTGAACTGTTTTTATCACAGTATTATTTATTGCTGTCTTTCAATACAGTCCTGAAGCATTTTCCACTGCCAATAAAGGATACTGAGAACCAGCTGCCCTTCTTCGCCGACTCCGTGCTCCCCCGTGCGGGCCCCGGGCATCTAGCGTGCAGAGCAGCTCGGAGACCCAAACAGCCCCGAGGTGCAGGATGCGGTGCCAGCCACAGGAGGACCGGGTGTCTGTGCCCTCGGTTCCGAAGGCGCAGCGACTCCATCTCACGGTCTCACCGGCCCCTCCAGGGCCCAGAGGAGGCGGGGGCAGCGTGTGCGTGGGCCTATGCGTGTGTTCAGCACTGTTGCTCGTCCCCGGGCCGTCCTCCGTGTGGGCTTTACTCTCCTGCTGCTCTCCTCATGCCCTCACGAGAGGTGCCCAGGGCTGCGTCCCTCCACTTCTCTCGGCCCCTGGGAACCGGGGTGGGGGGCGCCTCCTGCAGCGGACAGAGGGGAGGGGGCAGGTGCGCCGGCTCGGGCGGGGCCCACCCGCCTGCAGGGCTGGAAGTGGATTCCCTGGGGGGTGGCTCACGCATGGCCGCCGCCCCAGCTCTCACGCAAGAGCTCGGAGGGCTAGCCAACTCCGGGACCCCATTTGGGGGTCTCCAGGGGGGGTGGGCGCTGAGCCCAGTGGCTGACACCACCCACTGTGGCCCGTGGGGTGGGCCCTGCAAAGACCGAGGCTTGGTGTTCACCGTCCCGCTCTGCCTGCGCCACCAGGGCTGACCGCTCCCGCTCTGGACGAGCGTGTTTTCCTTCTGTGGGTGAGTCTGGCCCGTCTCCGGCCCAGCCCGGCCCGTCTCCGTCTCCCCCAGCGCACAGCTGGGTTCTCTCGCGTCTTCCTGTGTCGAACCTGTGCGGCTGAGCTTACCGAGCTCAGGGGAAGCCTTATTTTCTGCATTTCCTACTTCTTAACGTTAAGTGTGAGATCTGGAACAGTGCAGAGCCCCCTTGCTTTTTAAACTGCACATTCCATTGTCCCCGACCACAGCCAGGCAAGCCTTGGGCATTTCTAGAAACCCAACTCGTCACAGATTCATTAAGGTGCAGGTGTTTTATTTAAAAGATTTGGTGATTCCATTTATGCCTGAAAGACAAACGTCAGTTGAGAAAGAGAGCAGCAAGCAGACGTCTGGGAGGTTCTGCTGCTCCGAGAAGGCGCGGGCTGCCCGGCTCGGGTCTGCGCCTCCCACACAGATGTCCCTGGGCTCCCCGTCCTCCCGCCGCCCCGCGCGCTCCCACTAAGGACTCCTCCCACCGCTGCTCCTAAGCTCCTCGTTCATGTCTCGCGTCGGGGGTTCTGAAGGTAACTGTGGGCTTGGGTTTTGCTCCTGGCTGTGTGCTGCCTCCGTCCTGTGTACGTGGACGGGTTCTCCAGCTCCTGTGGCTACCTCAAGCTCCCTTGCGTAGTTGCATCTACAAAGTCCCCTTTTCCAAATGAAGCCCCATTCACAGGTTCCCGAGGTCTGGACAGAGAGGTATCTGCCGGGGGGCCGCTGGTCAGCCTGCCTCACCCCATACATTTCTTCTGGTGACATCAGGGTGGGGAGGACGGGCCCCACCCTCCCAGGGAACAGGACTGGTCACACAAAGGGCAGGGTGAGCGGAGATTCGGGGAGGGAGTAGCTCAGAGACTGGCCGGGGAGAGAGCGGAGGACTGTAAGATAATCAAGGGACCTCTGCGTGCAGACGGGTTTACTCGTGGTTGATCTTTGAACTTGAGCGTGCCGAGCACCGCCCCGCCACAAATTGATGGTGGTGAAGTGGGGAGGGTGTCTCTGCTCTATTTAAAAGCAATTTCGGGGCGCCTGGGTGGCTCAGTCGTTAAGCGCCTGCCTTCGGCTCAGGTCATGATCCCAGCGTTCTGGGATCGAGCCCCGCATCGGGCTCCCCGCTCGGCGGGAAGCCTGCCTCTCCCCCCTCCACTCCCCCTGCCTGTGCTCCTCTCTCACTGTGTCTCCCTCTGTCAAATAAATAAATAAAATCTTTTAAAAAATAATTAATTAATTTAAAAAAAAAAGCAATTTCAATAACCACCTGGAGGTTATTGTGGAGGACCTGCTCTGGGCATCCACTTGGACGTGCAGGGGAGACCCTGACGCCCCAGCTAACGGTCCCGCCCGCTGGTGGGAGGAAGCAGCGCCCGCCTGGGCGCCCAGGGCCCGCCCCGGATGCCGGCTGTGCCGGGGTGCGGGAGGCTGCGGGAGGCCTGCGTCCCGTAGAGCCGCTGCTCACACATGCAGGCACGTGGGGGCCCCCCCGGACGGGTTTCGGGACGCACCATGCAGATGGAGCTGTGCGAGGGCACCCGGACTGCCCCCACGTGGCCGCTGTCCCGAGGCCGGGCCAAGGTGGGGCTCATCTTGAATACTTTAAACGGGTCTCACCGGCCCTCTTCCGAGGAAGCCAACAGAACACGGTTCTCTGCTCGCGATGAGGGGCAGCCACCAGCCGGGGCTTCCTGGCTTCCGCTCCACGGCCCAGAATGCTCTCCTAAAATTATACAAAAGCAATTTTTATAATGTTTAATTAAGATAAAAGTAATGTAAATTAATTTGAAATTTTTTTAATTAAACAAAAGCAGTGTCACCGAGGAATTGTGACATTACACAACCTATAGGGCCGAAGATATTTGAGTCGTCAGTTGTCCATCACCCGATTTTCTTTTTAATTTTTAATTTTTATTTTTTTAAGATTTTAAGCAATCTCTACACCCAACGTGGGGCTTGAATTCACAACCCCCAAGATGGACGAGTCGCATGCTCCACTGATGGAGCCAGCCAGGTGCCCCTCTTTTTTAATTTTTTTTTTTTTTAAGATTTTACTTATTAATTTGAGAGAGAGCACAAGCAGGGGGAGCGGCAGGCAGAGGGAGAGGGAGAAGCAGGCTCCCCGCCGAGCAGGGATCCCGATGCGGGGCTCGATCCCAGGACCCCGGGATCATGACCTGAGCCGAAGGCAGACGCCCAACGACTGAGCCACCCAGGCGCCCCTTTAATGTTTTGAGCAAAGTAACAGCAGGCTCATCATTTCAAGAAGAACAGCAGCGGCCGCTGTCCTTGTTCCCACTCCTCCCCTCCTGCCTTCCTCCTACGTAACGTGTGCTTAGTGTGGGCTCCTGGCTCATCAGTCAGTCTTAGGATTTACCTACTGGCATCTCTTTAAGGGCAATGAGAATTTTAGCAGTACTTATTGCCAGCCAAGTGGATTGCTGGGATTACAACACAAAGGGCACGTGGTACGACTGTATTCCCCGGGATTTATGGATGAAATAATACAGTGCCTGGGACTTGCTTTAAAAAATAATATTGGGGGGCGCCTGGGTGGCTCAGATGGTTAAGCGTCTGCCTTCGGCTCAGGTCATGATCCCAGCGTCCTGGGATCGAGTCCCGCATCGGGCTCCCTGCTCCTTGGGAGCCTGCTTCTCCCTCTGCCTCTCTCTCTCTCTCTGTCTCTCATGAATAAATAAATAAAATCTTAAAAAAAAAATTAAAAAATAAAAAATAATATTGGGGAAGGGGCGCCTGGGTTGATACATGTGAAGGCAGGATGGGTCCTGGAAGCAGTGATGTGTTAGACTTGGTGAAGGGTGTCCCCCGTTATGATGGACCACAGGTCCTTTGTGACAACTCCCATCTGGAGGTGGAGTCTAAGCCCTCCCCTTAAGCCTGGGCCGGCCTCACCGGCGTGGCTGACCACGGGATCGTGCAAAGGTGACGCTCAGGGGCCACTGAAGTGAGGCCATCAGAAGCCTTACAGAAACCAGCCCCCAAGTAGGAAGTCCAACCACCCGGAGACCAACCACCTTGCTGTAAGGGAGCCCAAGCGAGCCGCATGGAGGGGCCGTGGACGGTGAGACCCCAGAGGTTCCTCCCATCCCGTTGTATGTGCCCAGCTCATAAGTGAGGGAGCCACACTGGACATCCCGGTCCCCAAAGACAGGCCAGGGAGAAAGAGCGAGAATCTCCCCCAACAGTAAGAACCAAGGCCTCAGACATACGGCCAAGCATCTGAGCCAGCCCGGCCGAGGCTCCACTGGAAACAGAAATGAGCCGCTGCCCTGTGCCCTGTCCAAACTTGCCATCCCCGACGTCCCAGCACGGTACGTTGGTTGGTTTTTCTCGTGAACTTTTGGGGTGCTTTCTTACATGGCAGCAGATGATTGGAACTCTGTGTCCCACACGCACTGTTACATGTTCTATTCTGCTGCCTTCTATTTTGTATGCTGTCTTTGCCCCCAGAAAATTGATTTCATAATCCACTGAAAGATCACCATCTGCTGTGGTTTCTTATCTGCTGCGATGTAAAAATCCACCCCAAAACTTCATGGTAAAAAAACAACGATTTATCGTTTCTCTTGACTTGGTGGCTCGCCAACCCGGGTGGACCCTGGGCTGCTCTTTCCCGGACTCCCCCACGTGCTGCAGGCTGGGGGGGGCATCCCCGCTCACGTGGCTCGCTCACACCCCACCGTGCTGCTTCACAGCAGCGCAGCCTCCGGCTCCAGGAGCACAAGATCAGAAACGAAGGGGGCCCCAGGGCCAGACCCCTTGACGTTGTCCACAGAACTCACACCACGTCATCTCCTGCCACATCATACTGACGAGAACAAGTCACGAGCCCGGCCAGGACGCGAGAGGCTGGAGAGACAGACTCCAACCGTCTCTGGATGGGAAGCACAGCTAGGTTGCCCTTGCGGAGGGTGCGCTTGTGTCCCCCCCAAACTCATATACTGAACCTAATGCGCGATGTGACGGTGTTTGGTGGTGGGACCTTTGGGAGGCGCTCAGGTCCTGCGGGGGGGAGACCTCACACCGCTGCTCTTGTAAAAGGGACCCCAGAGAGCTCACTTGCCCCTTCCGTCATGGGAGGACCCACCGAAAGGTGGCCGTCTGTGAACGAGGAAGCCGGCTCTCCCGATACCAATTCTGTAGACGCCTTGATCTTGGACTTCCAGCCTCTAGAGCTCTGGGAAGTAAAGCTTCTATTGTTTGTAAGCCACCCCTTCTGCGCTTTTCTGGGACCCAGACACCAGGACAGTCCCCTTGCAAAGAGGGGTGGACA